GCTGATCAGAAAGCGTTAGGTTCTAAAGGGCCTGTCATTACATGAGATGCTGCTGACTCAATTCATCCAACAGATATTGAGCTCTGTGATAACACAAAGGTCACCAATATGCAAGCCTATTTGTTACATATTTCCACCTCATTTTCCTTGCCTCTGGTTTAGTCCTAATGTCTCTCTCCTTGTCTATACTTACCAGTTTGATTCAGTTCCCGACTTCCTTCCAGCTTTGCCTCTCAGGTTCTGTTAGTCCTGAGCCCTTAGCTTCCTGGATTCCTCTTCATTAACTGGGTAGACTAGTCACGAATAGCTGTGAACTCATAACGACTTGCTCCCACATTGCGTTGGCATTTCAAATGCTGGCTTTGACTCATCAAGGCCTAAAACTTACCAATCAACAGAAAACTTCCTTCCGGACTCTAGACAAGCCTCAGTCGGTGAAATTGCAGTTCACAGCAGTGTGTTTCTTGACCAATGGTTGACAGTATTTTACTATAAAATCCTCAAGACACAATGTTATGCTTTAGTTCACCTGAAAACCAGCCTTGATGGTGGAAAAACATGTTTTGAACAGTTGTAATTTTGTTCCTAGATTTTCTATTGAGGACTTGTATCTTTCCCTTGCTACTTCTAAATTTTGAAACTCTGCACTGATACGTCCTATGGGCTTTCTGACTCTGACTTGGTTTACTAATCGTCACCTGTTCTCCTGACACACCTGGCTTGGACTAAGCAATATAATTTTCATTTCTGCTGAGTCTATTGCTGTGTAACAAAGTACCTCAACAATTAGACTCTTAAAAGCAATCATGTTGTTTTTCTTGTGCGTTTGTACATTAAGAATCTGGGCAGATTTTGGCTAGTGATCCCACTGATCCTTCAAGACACTGTTGTGGTTTTCAGCTGGCAAACGGGCTATCTGGAGGGTCCAAGATGGCCTTCACTCACATACCTGTTGTCTTTGCAGGTCTGGCTGAAGGTTGAGCCAGCTGGGACTGGTAACCAGAGTGCCTGCCCGTACAGTCTCTAGCAGGGGACTCTCAGTGTATTTGAACTTCTTAACTGGAGAATCACAACTCCCAGAGAAAATGTTCCAAGAGACATGAAGCAAAACTTGCCTGTTTCTTACGTCTTGGGCCCTGACACTCTACAGCATCATTTCTGCTGCTCTCTATTGGTCAGAGCAGTCATAAGCCCACCAGATTCAAGGGGAAGGAACACAGATCCTACTTCTCAATGGTAGGAATTATGCTACAGAAAATGAAAACATTATGCTAAGTGAAAGAAGACAGACACAATAGAGCACATATTGTATGATTTATATGAAATGTCCAGAATAGGCAGAGACAGAAAGCAGAGTTGTACTTTCCAGAGGATGAAAAGAAATCAGGAGTGACTGATGGGTATGGGTTATCTCTTTGGGATGATAAAAATATTTTGGAATCAGATAGTGGTAATGGCTGCACAACTCTGTGAACATACTAAAAACCACTGAATTGTACACTTTTAAAAGGATGAATTTTATGGTATTTGACTTGTATTTCAATTTTTTTAAACTAGCACTTTCTCACAAATTATCAGATTAAATTTCACTAATATCTGCTCTGTTTTTTGTATGTTAGATTGGCAGACATGTAAATTTTTAAAAATAAGTGTAATTCTAAGGTTCTAAGTATTTCCTTTATATACTTAACCTCCTTCCTTTCTTATCTCATTCCACAGATATGTACACTATCCTTTACCTTTATAGAGTATAATAAAGATTAAGATATTAGGAACTCTTCCTTCTCTCAGATATTCCAGCATTGTTGCAACTATTTAATTCTTATGACCATCGTGGTTTATTATGTCTTCTAATATGTGGATAAAATAGACTAAGTGGCATAGTACTTTAGACAGGAAATAGAATCCCACTGCTGGATTTCTACACTTGATTTACATCTTGGTAAATAAATTGCTATTATTAATTTATTCCTTGACCTAAATGAAAACAACAGGGATTTTTGTTTCTTTTCTTTTTTTCTTTGTATCCTTACAGAATTGTGTGCAACCAGTGATATGATTAAATTACAATCATGAATATACACATAAATGCCTGTACACATAAATGCCTGTATATTTTTTTAATATAGAAAATATTCAAAATTCTATGCTTTAATGGAATTTGAAACTTGTATTGTGATAAATGTTTTTCTTCTGCTATAGTAAGACTGGACTTTTTTCCTGAAATGAAGTGTCTGTGTTTCTTGGTTTATGATGGTTTCATATCTAATCAGTTATTTGTATGTTAAGTTTTACTGACATTAAAAGAATCCATAATAAAAATTTATAAACAAAATCCATAAACAAAAATTGAAAATGATTTCTGTATATTGTCTACAGAAAATAGCTTTAATTGAGCAGCTTATCTTCCACTTGCAAGTTTATGGAAATATAAGTATGTCAAAATAAATAAAAAGTAGAAGAATTGTTTGTCATTCAAAGAATGTGATTATTTTGACCATCTTATGAATTACTTTGTTTTTGATGAAAGAGATTCAATCAAGCCACCTCTGAACTGAAGCTGCATAAGCAAAACACATTAACTAGTAATATCACCGATTTATAAACAAATTGATGCTTATCTCTGCTTTCTGAATTTAGAATGTTGAGGTTATCTTACTTGTTTAAACCTATTTGGGGAAAGGTATGGAGATTAAGCGTCCACATATGTGTTCATATGTTTATGGACTCACAGGCCTCTAAGATTTTGGTTTTCTGTTAGAGTTCTTAGAAAGTATCTAAGCTTTTATTTGTAGAAGCAGATGCTGTAAAGAAAAGGTTTTAACTTTTTTTAAAAAATTGAGATATAATTCACATATAACATGATATTAGTGTCAGGTGTACAACATAATGATTCAATATGTGTATGTATTATGAAATGATAACCACAATAAATCTACTTAAACATCCATCACCACACACAGTCACAATTTTTTTTTTTCTTGTGATGGGTTTTAACCTTTAACAACTTTTGGTGTTATCTGCAAACTATTTCTTTTTTGTTGTTGTTGCTGTACGCGGGCCTCTCCCTGCTGTGGCCTCTCCCGTTGTGGAGCACAGGCTCCCGACGCGCAGGCTCAGCGGCTATGGCTCACAGGCCCAGCCGCTCTGCGGCATGTGGGATCCTCCCGGACTGGGGCACGAACCCGCGTCCTCTGCATTGGCAGGCGGACTCTCAACCACTGCGCCACCAGGGAAGCCCCTGCAAACTGGTTCTTAAATCACAGGCAAATTCTGATTTCTGATTTCAGTGAGTCTATCTCAGAGGAGTAAGGTATGCCAAACATCATGCTCAATAGGACTTTAGGTCATTTGGTAAATATAACCAAGTAAAGATGTTTTCACTGTCATGACTTGTTAATTGACATGGTATTGGACTATAGAGAAAACCAAACCTGTATGATCCAAGTTAGATTTTCTCATGCAAAAAGTTATCTGTGAATGCTCAGTTCTGGCCAAGGCAGATTTTATTTTCAATTTTTTATTAATATCACCTCCTCTGCTTAACTCCTTTGGTGTCGTCATATCTGTTCATTTATTTTTCAGTCTGAAATTTACTAAGAGTTCTTTAAAGTATGGAATAACGGTACAAATGGATTATAAAATAAGAGTAGCTTTCACTAGAAGATTAAAGCAAAATGCAGTTTTCCTCTAGATTTTAACTTTGCTTACATTTTTCCTTTAAATTGATACACTAAAAATATTGCAATTAAGCACAACATGAAAAAGTGTCCTTGTCCTATCTCCCCCTGCTCTGTTATATATCATGTTTTATTGGAAAAATGGTCAATGTTAAGTCGCTTCAGCATCAATACTGAATATTCACGCATGTGTGTGTGCACATGCACACTATTTAGTAGGCTGTGTTCAATTGGTTAATTTAAGCAAACTATTTTAAGTGACACAGCAGTAGGGGTCCTGATACTTTGGTACTGCTTGAAATTACTTTTTAACTTCAGAATAGTGACTTTACACCTAAACCTCTAGCAGGGTTGAGCAGGAATCAAAGGGCTATTTTTTCCTTTAAATAAGAGTATTTACTAAAATAATATAAAGCTAAATCAAACAGAACTATTACAGAAGATAATTTGGGAAGTTAAATAATATTTTCTCTGTTTTTCCTATTTTATTTTTTTTTAAGATTTTTTTGATGTTGACCATTTTTCTTTTAAGTCTTTATTGAATTTGTTACAATATTGTTTCTGCTTTATGTTTTGGTTTTTTGGCCGTGAAGCATGTGGGATCTTAGCTTCCTAATCAGGGATCAAAACCACACCCCCTGCATTGGAAGGCGAAGTCTGAACCACTGGACCACCAGGGAAGTCCCTGTTTTTCCTATTCTAGACTTGTATAAATTTAAAATAATCTTTAAGATATTCACATTGTTTAAGTAGTTAAACAAGGAAGCCATCAGACTGAGGTGGCTCTAATGTCTTGGGAGCCTACGTAAGCAAACCAAAACTAAGCTAGAGTCAATGCACTCAAACCAAGCAAATGAAACTTAAGAACAACCAATCACAAACGGCCAACTAGGCTTTCCCAAATAAGGCAACTCCTTAAGCTATCACCTATCAAATCATTTCCTTGCTCTGCTTCTCTCTAAAAACCTCTCCCCCAGCTCCTGTTGGTAGAATACTCCACCTTTTGTTTGGACTGCCTGATTCTAACTGATGTATGCTCAAAATCAACTCTTGAAAATTTTAATGTGCCTCAGTTTATCTTTTAACAATACTAAATGATTAACTGTATAGTATTTTTTAATGCAATAATGTACAATTGAATGTAATACCTCAACTGAATGTATATCTTTCTGTGATCTCATTTATGCCTTTCCATTATCTCTTAATTATCTCAATTCCTCTTAATAAAAGTTTAAAAGACTTTTGTTTTACGGGTTTTATTCCTCCTTAACAAAATTAAGTACACAGTTTCTTAAAGTTGACCGTGAATATATTCTCCTTTTAACTGACTGACTTAAACCTGATCCACTGATTTGCATCACGAATTTCAAAAGGTGGATTAGTGCTGTAGATGTGATGGCTTAATTCTTCCAATGGTGGTTCAGGATCGGTTATAGCAAACTGAGCAGCAGCATCGATTTCTTTCCTCACTTCAACATCAATTTCCTTCAATTCTTCAATACTGGCAAGTTTGTTGTTTACCATTTTATCTTTGAGAAGCATGATAGGATGGCTCTTACTTCTTAAATTCTGAACTTCTTCTCGTGTACGATAACTGATTCCAGGGTGACTCATACTGTGTCCATGATAATGGTATGTCAGCAGCTCCATCAGTATGGGCCCCTTTCCAGATCTACAATAGTCAGCTGCAACCTTAGTTGCCTCCCGAACACACAGAACCTCCATTCCATCTACCTTTAGGCCAGGGATGAAACTGCCTCTCTTGTAGTAATCAGTGTTGGCTGCAGCTCTCTCAACAGATATTCCCATTCCATAGCGGTTATTCTCACAGATGAAAATACAAGGTAAATTCCACACAGATGTCATATTATAAGCTTCAGATATCTGACCCTGATTAGCGGCACCATTCCCATGTAGAGTCTAACACACCTCGTTGTCTCCCAGCAGTCCCTGAGCACCAACAGTGCCATTGCCTCCATAGAAGTTATTGGCATACATATGCATTGACCCTCCCCTTCTCCTTCAACACAGCCACCTCTTCGACCTGTCAGCTCTGCTAGAATTGATGGGACAGAAAGTCCACGAGTACACATGAGCCGTGAGCCTGACAGGATGCAATAACATGATCCGTGGGATTTAGCCCAGCCTCAAGACCCACACAACAAGCTTCCTGACCATCACACAAGTGACAGAAACCACAAATAAATTTCTGTTTTTACAACTGATCCGCCTTCAATTCCATTCGACAAATGTTCTGCATCATCCTGTAGTATTTGAGTCCATCCTCCCGGGTGAGCACTGCGGTGACAGGGGCACCCTCTTCCAACCGATAAAGATCACATTTCTTAATCTCAAATGTAGCATCATTTGAATAGTTACAGGATGCCACAAGCACCCTGTTAGCGGGCTTCTGGGTGACAACAGACAGCACGCTAGGGACAGCAGCAGCCAGCATCTTCCTCATGGAGCGCAGCCAGGGAGGCCGTGAGTCTCCATCTGCCAGGGTCACCTGAGTCCCAGTCTCCAGTGTACCCTCCACCCCCAAAACACACGCTGCACCACAATGACAGTGCGCTGGTGGCAGAGGCCACGTCATGCTGCGCGAGGCCACGGGCCGCAGCCTGGATCAGCTGATTTTTACAGTGCCTTCCAACTGTAAAATTCAGAATAAAGGTTGTTTCTTGCCCTGGAAGACTTGGCTGAACTACACTCTATTCCTAACTAACGCCATCATCATTGCTAAAACATCATAATCTGGGTCCCTTTTCCCTGCTATACGCTAAAGTAATGCCTCCTGAACGTTGTATTCAATGGAAAAGAGGAGAAAACACAATCCTTAAGGCACACAAGAGCTCTGACAGGTTAAGCCAAAGATGTTCTTACCAATATTTCTTTAAAGTCTTTTTAAAAATCATTAAAATATGTATGAATATTTTATCCTACTCCACAATACACCATGTTTATTTTAAAGTAAAAATAAAGATGCAAATTATTTTTAGTTTACATAAGTTAAAAAAACACACACTTTTTTTAAAAAGTTGGTGCACCGGAAGAATATGCACATTTACACTATGGATTCTAGCACCTGTGTCTCCTGATTGGTGGTGAGGGAGGGCACGTGACGGTACACAAATCCCTACCTGAGATTAAAAGTCTAAACCCAATAACAAGCTTTGCCTGGTGTGCGAAAATTGAAATCAGGGTTGAAATGATCTAAGCGTAGATGGAATGGATGTTCTATGTGTCCAGAAAGGAATCAGGGTTAAAGTAGCTACTAACAAGTTTTTACATGGCACTTTTCCTTGCTCTTTATTGTAATCCTGAATCCTGTTCAATTTTATCCCTATTTTCTGACTAATTTTTTTGGAGGGGTGTTGGTCTACTCCTATCACGTCTTCAACAGGTTTCCTTAGAAAATATCAAGATTCATATGGCTTTGTTTCTTCTTTTTATATCAATCTAAACAGAACCAGTCTTAGTCTGGGAAATCAAGAAGCATGTTCTTATAATATTTCCTTATATAGTAAACATTAGAAAGCATAACTTCTTATGAAGTGACGCACTAAACAACATGCAGTTTGGATTGAAGAGCAACAGAGTTTGCTTAAGCAGTTGGTTTAATCATAGGACAAAAGAAGTCTTAACGCCTAGCGTTACAAAGATCACATACCATTTTCCTCTTTTGTGTTTTTGTGATTTTGTACCCCGATAAGCCATCCATAAACAGGGATTCTGTTCTATTTAGACTATTAAGCGATACACCTTAATACGTGCTTTGTTTTATATCCTCCACCTGTTTGTAAATAAACAAATAAAACACAAAAATCCCTGTTTATAAATAAATTCTCACTCAAATCCCTATGACATGTTCAAAGCAGCTGCCTTCTCTAACCTAGTTATAAGTATTATCATGGATACCTCTTATAGTATTCAGGCAGGAAGAAGAAAATAGCTTGTTAAAAAGTTATTATATCTATTAAAACTCCATCCTCCTCCCACCTTCCCACCCCAGACGTCATAAATGGGCTTCATCTTTTCACTCAATTTAAAATTCTGCTTGTGGAATTCATGGTCTTGCTGTGTTGTTTGCTCCTTCTTTGATAGTTAGCCTGTCTCTGCTGTTCTCTTTCATTCCTGCAGGTATTGGAGATCTCCAGGGAGCATTATCTCCATGAGAATGAGAAAAATGACACTGCATGATCGAACAGTAGTGTTAATGGGTCACTGAGTGACAGCTGAGCCTTCTCTCAGAGGCATCAGCCAGGCTAGCACTGCCAGGAACACAAGAGCTATACAGTAAAGTGTGCCAATTTAATCTTGTCACATGTAGCCTGGGCTGCAAAGATAGAGCTCCCCTTAAAAGCCCAGTGTGACAAGGCTAAACCTGACTCATGCCAGAGGAGAACATGCAAAGATGCTAATTGCAAAATACCTGTGCTACAGGTCACCACAGAAGATGGCCCTTTTATTGCAACAGGCTCTGGTTAAGATAATAAATAAAAAAATGGGAAACTTGTAGGGACCTTTTGGACATCAGTTACACTATACAACCTAAATTCAACTTAAAGATAGACAGATGAAATCATATTTGCAGACTATGATGTCAGAGTATTTCCGTTAAACTCATTAAACCTGATGATTTTTCTTTAAGTTTAAACCCATCCATATTTTGAAAGTAAAAGTAAAATTTCCAGACGTCAGGTAAAAGTTTAAAACCCCCAAGGAAATCCTGAGCTGTTGAGCCTCTCTTATCTGCCCCTGGCTAGACAGGATTCAATACACATGGACAATACAGCCAATGACAGTGTACTTCTCTGCGAATGATTTATTCTTTTGTCTTGTCATTGTTCAATACCATGTTTATTAGCAAACAGAACTAAGAGTCATCTACATGTTCACCACTGAAATGTTTGCAATTAAAATCCTCATAAATCCTAAGTTTTTAATTAACACCAAATCTTACTTTTAATCTATTTGAAATTAAAGGAAAACAGATGAGCACTTTTATAAGGCCAATAGTAGACTTTGCATTAATTAATAAAAATCCTAATAAAAGAGGAGCCAGTGATTATAGTAGCCATCATTAATGTCAGTGTGACAGAATTTCGCTTTGCATGTGTAGTGGTTGATCCTCTACGGGCATTTATGAATTCATCTTAAAAGTGTCACCCCCATTGAATCAATAGCATATAAAATATTTTTTTATAAGCGACAAGGAAACACTAAAAAAAGAACAGCATGTTTGAAGAATATTAAATTCCTCCAGTAATAATTATGTACTTTCACCAAATGTTAAATAAGGAAAGCTGTTAAAGAGTGAATATGTTCTACATAAATAATATCAGATCTCATTATAAGATTACTGGCAATGTATTTTTTTCATAGCTCTAAGATTTGGCAATTAAAAGTGATGAGTAAGAGAACTTGGTGAAAAAAATTAAGACATATATAACTCACAGAAGAATTTTTCCCATTTGGTCTAATTATCTCCCTTGGAGAAAGGGAAAATGTCAGTACCATATATTCTGCAAAATAATGACAACCAAGCAAGGTCCTCCTCTAATGTTATAATAAATGAGCTTAGTTCAGAACAGTTCAGAGCCCTGGGCAAACAATATTTTTTTCTTCTCCTCACCCTCATCCTAATTCTGAAGTATCATTAAATAAAAATTCAGGACAAATTATCATGAAGAGAAGACAATTGAAAACAAGAGGTAAAGTGAGGGTGCTCCTCATTCCACTCAAATAATGATGGTATAAAGAAAAGAAAGACATTATGGGTTAATTTTTAGTAGGGACTAATTGGAGCCACCATCTTTCTCCTGCTGGATGAGCAGAGTCATCTGAGTCATCACGCCCACAGTATCCAACCCTTATCCCTAGAGTTCGGTACCAAGGTCTAGCAGATCATGATAAAAGGGGTCATTATACAAAACTGTAAAAGAAGAGTTTCCAAACATTTTAATAAGCCCCCTATAATTAGAACTGAAATTGACTATGGCCAAGTGAGATAAGAAAAGCAATTCATGTATAATTTGGTGTCAAGATTTACTATGGCCTACTGTCTCAACTAGTAGAGGACTAGTGCAGGTATCAAAAGCTGTGAAGTGATTTCTGCTCAGTACTTTGAGTTGTTTTGTAAAATAAAAATCATCTGTTCAATATATGTTTCTAACAAATCAAAGCAAATTCAAGAAGCCCAAGTCAGGTCTCTTTGCATTTCCTCCAAAAATTATTATTTACATTTCTTGGGAAAATTTTTTTGTTCACAAGATCTGAATTCTCACATACTTAAAAACCCATATCTCAAATTTTCATTCTCTAAATATATATTTATCTTTAGTAGTTTTAATTTTAATAGCAATAAAGTGTACATTAAATGTGATAGTAAAAATAAACTATATATTCAATAGTGAAATGATGGCTTCTCTCCTTTGAACAAAGTCTTTTGTAATATATGTCTCTTAACTGTACATTTTATGATGTTTTCTGTATTAATGCCCTCAACAACACTTCCTTCTAACAACTTTGGGTAGACTATTACCTTTTCCTAATATCAGTATGTGATAACATAATTAGCACATTTATTTCCTTTGACTTTGCTTCTTTGAAGATCTGAGTCACTGAACTAAGATTTAAAGAGACAAAGGATATTGGCAAAATTCCAGGGCACTGCTGCCCCCTAGAAGGAAGTTTGAGCAGCACATCTGACCATTACAGACAAATCTTGGGAAAAAGAGAGTCTGAGATCTTGCACCCCACTTTTAACAACCTACTGTTGCCTGCATCATTGGTTTTTTTGTGCCCTCTTCTTATCTAAGCTTGGGCACAGGGTTGCCTATCACATCCTAAACTAAGATCCTAATACACTCCATGGCTCTCTCCAGAGATCCCTGCGGATATGTAAAGTCATACAAACAAAATTTTCTCAACAAAATAATATTTTTTAAAATAATGAAGATGACATTTGAAGCTATCATGTGCATTAATCTGAGATTTAAGGAACTACTGTAAATATTGCCCAGGTTTGTAAAAACCTTTCATCTCTTTGTTGGAGATACAAAGTTTGCTCATTTGATTTTTACAGAGACAGGTAAGGCAGTTTCTATCATTCTCAATTTCTATATGAGGAAACTGAGATCTAAAGAGTTTAGATGAAAGGCAAAAATTACAAAGTTAGTAAAAAGTATAATATTCATCCTTTATTTATTCAGCAAATATAATGAAGTGCCTTCCTTTCTGTACTAATAGAAATAAAATGATGATATACAATAAGATTTTCCTCTACTTAATCCAGTTCATATGGAGGTGTTGTGCTGTGAGCTCTCCCAGATTTTCTGGCATTGCATATAGAAAAGGACACATCATCATTGAATGACAGAGAAAGAGACACATGAACAGCTGTTATAGAGGCAATAAGACTAATGTATTGCATGCTGGGCAATGGTTACAATGACAGTTTGT